GATTCATATTAGTTGAGATTCTGAAAGGCTTCTTGTATGCGTAAGGGTGTCTGGCCCTTAGGACCATCTTTCTGTATCAGTGTGAGATGGCTGCAAGTTCCTATGGAATGAAAGATGAAGCAGGGCAGAAGGGGGAAGAAGGGAGCAACGTCAGTGAGGTAACTTGGTAGATGATGATATAAGGAGATTTAGGGGGCAATGTGAGGTGTAGCTGTGTACTTCAGTTACAATAAATGCTGATGTTGACTCAGGTTCTGAAAGAACTTGAATCTGATAAAATCAACTGCAAAGTGCTAAGAAAGATGAGGCAAGCAGGTGGCAGTCATCATTGTCTCAGACCTTGTCTCAAGATGGTGCTACTGTGTGCTGGAAGAGGACAAATAGAGGGAAAAAAACAGGGTAAGAGGAGGAAAAGGTGATGTCCTGGAGATGGAAACCATCTCAGGCATTTTTATCAGAGAGGATTGTAATGGGTAAACAAGCCAGAGAAACGCAATTAAATGCACCGAGACAGGTGGCATCAACTTTTGAGAAATGAAACAGGAAGTTAAATAAGGCTAGAGAAGATAAATTCTAGTTTTTAGATTGGGATTTGGTAAATCTCCAAGATTTATAATGATCTGTAACAAAATGAGAGCTAAAAAAGCATTTGGAAAAATTTGGAGTTGATTCTGAGCCCTTTAAATCAGCGGCAGAGAAGATGTCACAGAAGACAGACCAGGATGGAAGGAAGCAACCAGTGCACACATGGCAGCTAAGGCTTGTATAGCTCTCTGGTCACCCTGGATATTTCATGTAAGGGTATTTTCAAGGAGCTGATAACAGTTGTGATGTAAAACCTAAGTTGCAGAGAACAGTTTTTGTACGACGTATTTTTCAAGAAGATATCAGTATCAGTTGTGGTTCAGTTACATTTTATTGGTGGCTGTTATATCACACCAAGCTCAAATAATGTATTTAATAGACTGTTTGAATTGTGGAACAAAAGTTGTATTCCTGAGGACACTTACCTGTGTTACTCATTGGAACAGTTTTGGGTGTTTTACAGGCTGCAAATATTTGGCAGGCTTGTGAATGCTGAGATAGTGAGGCACAGCAGCGCTTGGAAATGGGTTTAGGGGAGAGGAATGGAAATTGTCTGTTTAATCAAGGATATACTTAATAAAATAAAATTAACAACAACAAAAAAATACACCAAAAACCCCTGAATTGTGGCTCTTTTTTAAAAAACATCTTTTTTTTTTTTTTTTTTTTTTTTTTTTCCCCTTCCACTGCCTGGAATATGGGACTCATTACTGAAGCTAACTGGACTTAACACTACTGTTTCACAGGACATTAGAAAATATCTCTTTGAGGTCAGTTTCTAAGCTGGTAGCTAGAAAGACATGGACCATTTGTGAAACCATTATTTACAAAACCTGTTTGAGGAAGTAATGGGCATCCTTATTGAATCTCTCTTCTGTACTTAGTTATTACATAAGCTTCTGTATTTGACTACAGGGTCTGCTAGTAGATCATCAGAGAGCTCCTTAAAACTGAGAGTAAACATTTTTGAGCTGTAATATTTTGAATTTCCCAAATACAACAGATTAGTTTTCTAGCTACAATGCCTGATTGATACTAAAGCTAAACTCCTTTTGTAGCCTCAATATATTTTTTTCTTTTTGCAAAACAGTAATCACACCTTCTCTCTCTTACTTTATGGACAAGAGAGAATCTCTCAAAAGAGGCTTAACTCTTAGGACATGCATAGATACCACTTAACGTCACATGGCAATTGCAATGCAAGTAAGTAATGCTTCATTACTGAGATTCTGGTTATACCTGTCCTGTTTTCTGTTAAAGGACAAATGCAGCCTTGTGATGTTTGACCTGATCTTTACTTGTGGATGTAAATCTAGCAGGCACCTAAAACTGCTACCATTACACTTGTCCTTTGTTCTGCCCTGCTGTGCTAAAGAGAGAGCTCTTGCTTTCACATCAAATGATAATGCATAGAAATTTAGTAGCAATGTGTTAATTCTGTGGCAGATAAGGCTCTTGTTAAGATTTTTACCTATTCCATATTTATTTAAATAGTTCATATAAGGAGGAAAAGCAAGTGGAAGAACTGAATGTCCTAACACACGTCATCCTGGATTTGCTCAGAGCGTTTAAGCTCAGACTCAGTTTGCAACTGAAAAAGCAAGTAGTATATTGTTATGGCAATAACAGCCATACAGCTTTGCTTCTTCTATTGGAGTCAAGCTGAAACCAGCTTAAATAACCAAAGTAAAATGGTGTAAGGACAGAGCTTAAGCCTGACTGGATGTGTTCCAAATTTACAGCCAAATAAGGAGGAGGGAGATGAAGTTTTTAGGAAATTAAATCTGTCCCCTTTGCCTTCAGTTCACACCCATTCCCAAAACAACATAGCTGCTCATGGGATGCATGATGTTCTCTCATGTTTTTTCTCTCAGGCCAAAATTTATTTTAATTGTACTCATGTGATGTGATGCAAGAAGAAAGCTTGGTGATGTGGGGGGAAAGGAGAGTTAGCTTCCGATAACCTGTAATAAGGAAAGGAGAGTAATTTGAGAATGTGCCCTTCCCATACATTGCTGTTTGTCTTCCTCTTGTACTGAAAGTCCTAAGCATCTGGACAAACAGGAAGCCCTGTCAGCATCCTTAAAGCACCCAGAAGGAAGCTGCAAGGGCATGGCCACAAGATTGTGGATAGTTCATTTTTCTTTCTCAGAGTTTCATGTTGTCCTGAATCCAGTCAAGATAACGCTGCACATTTGTATAAACGCCAGGTATGTCTTTGCGGCCGCAGCCTATTCCCCAGCTGACGATTCCAATTAGATACATACGATCATCCTTCATACAGACCAGAGGCCCTCCAGAGTCACCCTACAGAGAAGCAGCAGGTTAGTAACAGTTTCCTTTTTTTGTTGGTTTGGTTTTGCATTGTTTTTTCCCCCCACTGGCTTAAGTGGTGCACCAGTGTCTACAGAAATACCCTACGTAGTATGCTCACAAATCAAGCGCTCTTAGTAACAGCACTTTCACAAAAGTAAGCCACCTCTGTGTTCCAGACTCCCTCAATGCTCCTTTCATGGGGAGAGACCCCCAAAAAATCTAACTTAACGCTAACTTTGTGGGGCTCATTTATGAAACGTAGGTGAGACGCTGACAAGAACAAAAAGAGGAATGCTCTTATCCAAGCTATAAAGATCCAGGGTATTTTATACTGCTGTGTGTAACAGTAAAGCAAAATTATTAGAGAGCTGTTTAAACAGAAAGGATGTGAATTGAATGCATGCCCTCGTTTTTTCTCATGTTACAGCTGCTCTTTCTCCATCATCTTTTGGCCTTCATTCTTCTTTTCTCCACTTTTCAGTAGAGTGGCATCCCCTTCCTTTTACAGAACCTCCTGCTAAATGCTTTGCATGCTCACATAAGAGAAAATATTAGGAAATGCTGCTGAGGTGGAGTTTCCTGCTCAGTTTTGTGGTATTTCCTATATTTGTGATCTTCAGTCTGTATTATTCTGGTTTGCTTGGTTAAGTGCAGCCTGCTTTCCTAGCTATGATGGGCAGGGGAAGAAAAAAGAAAGAGGAGCCTGCAGTTCTGTTCTGTTCAACAGAAGTCTGCTAGAACTTCCATGTAGCCAAATGTAGAACTTCTTTAAACTATTTTCTGAAGCTTTTTTTTTTTTTAGTTAGCTCAGGCTATTAAGGACAGACTTGAACAGAAAAGAGGAACGGAATTGGGTTTACCTTGCAGGCATCATCAAGGTGCCTTGTGTCTCCTGCACATAACATATTATCTGTAACTGTTCGGTTGTCTAGATGCTGTGTTGTGCACCGACTGGCTGGAAACAGTCTGACATGGCCTTCCTTCAGGTGCTCTGAATAGAATGGAGAAACTGGAAGAAAAATGACAATATAAATACATATATGTGTCTATGTATATATGTATGTGTATATATTTATTTTTTCAATTGTAGTTCAGTTTCTGTATTTTAGGGGAGAGTAAACAGAAGTAGCTGGGGGTGGAGGGATTGCTAAACTAATATTTCCTTACAAAAAGGTCTTTTTTTAAATCTTGGCAGTTTTGCTTTGTTAGTGACAACAGCTTCGATCTAGTTGAGAGACAATTTTGCTTCTTTAGCAAGCTTAAATGCTGAAGAGGTTTTTGTAGGCTCCAAATTAAAGACTGCAGGGTTTCTTGGATGGATAAGTCATCTTTGCACAGTTACATCAATCAAAATGAAGTCACAGGAAGTGCCTATGAAAATCACTAACTATATGAAACAGGATCCTGACTTTTTAGTATTACGCTTGTGCTAACAAAAAGTGGATGCGTTGTACACGATACTGAGTAAGTGGATAGGAACGTACACTTGTGTTATGTTGGAATGGAAGGGATTTATTTGTTTGTTTGTTTTGGGTGTTGGTTTTATTCTCCTGCATAGCTGCAATTGCACAAAGCTCAAAGTTGGCAGGATTGTTGTTTTTCAGTCTAGTGTTGAATTACAGTTGCAGCATCCCTTCCCTCCTAATATCCGGTACTCCCCATAAGCAATGCTGAGGACTAGTTTCAAAAGCACTTTAAAAACACTTTATGCCACACTTACACATTAAATCTTCAAGTCTGTTGTAAAAACCCTATGGGTTCAAATAATGATTAGGTCTTGTTATGATGGATGCTTCACAGTCTCCGTCTCAAAAAGTTTACTAGTTAGAGAATAAAAAGAAATTCATAGAAAGTGCCAGTAAAATAAGAGCTGGTTTTTTTGTTTGTTTTAAATATAGGCCAGCGTGTGTACACTTTCAGACAGGTTTTATGTCCGTTTGTTGTATCTCACTTTCAAAACCATTTAGCCAGCTTTTTAATACATATCTAGGATTGTTACTTCTTTAGCTGTGTTGGTTTTGGTTTTGTGGGGGGTTTTGTTGTTGTTTTTTGCTAATCACTGCACAGCCAATGTATCTTTTAGAATAATCCAACTACTTGCAACTGTATAGTATATTAATCCTTGACAAAAATGGATTTCTGTTAGAATGACAATATCAAAATGTACTCAGTACAGCAGAAATGTGGCAGCCTTGATTGCAGTTTTTCTCTTTCCTACCTTAGCCATTGTGCCATTCTTTGTGTTTCTACTGTTGGAGAGTATCAAGGAAGATTCTACTAGACCATGCAGCTTACACAACTCAGATGAATGAAATAACTTACAGCAAAACTTGGTTTTGTGTATCTCCCACTTACACATACGGTTTGTAGTGCTGATATAAGCCCATATAATAATTCAGGAGGTCACACATTAAGCAAAGCTAAAGGCTTGAATTCTTTGAGGGCAAGGAACCCAAACTTGGGCCACAGTATCTTCTACTTACATGTAGACATGTCGTCTACTTACATTCTTCATTTCTGCCATAACCAGAGATCTCACATTCCGTCCAGTCAGGCAGTTGCAGTTCTGGTGTTGGGAGGCAGGCAGCATGAACAGTGTCTGTTTCAATAGCACAGTCTTCTACATCTGAGTTCAACTGCAACAGAGCTGAAGAGGGGAAAAAAATCCCCACTTCATTAACGACAAACTTGAGCCAACCATGACCTTTCCAGTCACGAGGTCAGAAAAGTTCTTACCAATATCATTGTTGAAACTTTCTGAGTCAAACCTCTGATGCACAGTGTAGTTCTTTACTTGAAACTTTTGTTCATTTTCCTCGGGAGTTGCTCGGGAAGTCCTACCCAGCACAATCTTCAGCTGATTTGTACTAAAGCTGAAGAACAAGACAGTCTTACTTTCTTCCCATGTTAACTGGAGCGGACCTTTCCCTTGAAGATTTGCTGTTGGAGCTTCTGCTTTTCTTATTTGATCACTATTACTACTTCATTACTCAGGCAGTTTGACCTCAAGTGTCCTATTTGCCTTCATTTTTGCACTAATTGCTTACAGCCATCATGGCAAAGCTCCTCTGCCAGCCCCTTGCTGTTCTCAAGTTTCATATGGTTCTGCATCTGTACTGACAACTTTGTTCTTCAGCTATTTGATATTCTGCTGTGGTACCTTAATGCCATGCTGATAGTTTGCCCAATAAATGCCTGTCTGTAACGCTCAGCACAATTAACTCTATAATCTTTAGTGCAGAAGGACTTACTGGGATAAAGAGCGTTTTTTTTTTTCAAGTCTTTTACCCTTCCAGTAAGGCTATGCTGGATGCTTCTATTTTCCAGACTTTTTTTTTTTTCCCCGGACAGTACTGAATCCTCAACTTACCCTTCCTCAAAACAGTGAGCAGCTGACAAAACCCAGCAGGAAGCAATCAGAATTCCTCCGCAGAGGAAGTGCTCTCCAGGCGCTCGGCGATAGTTCACGAAGATGGCAGCTTGCCATGGGTGAGCTGCAATGTCTGCGTCAGAGCCACCTTTAATCCTGTACTGGCGTACTCTGTGCTGCCGTAAGCCACAGGTGGCTGTGGATGACAAACCCAGAAATAGGCTTTTTGTTCAGGCACTCTGGCTTCGAGAGTTGGCTTAACAGCCTGTTAGTCATCAGTGCATGTTAAGGCAGCCTGGCCTGAACTCATTAGTATCTATCTGACTCATTCCTGTTTCCTAGGAAACTTGTATTCTGATTTGAAAAATACAGCAAGGAAACCCTCCCTTTCTGTCCTTTTCTGCAACCTTCCCTTCTGGCAGAGAAAAAAAAGCAATTCTGTGAGCGCGGAGTCGCAGAATCTTTCTATTCTAAAAAGCTTCCCCCCCCCCCCCTCCCCCCAGTTCTCTAAGAGGCTTCAGTTTAATACAAATGACATGCAAAACAGTAATGCCTCAAAGAAAGAGAAGAATCAGGAGTGCTAGGATCCTTACAGCAAGTAGGCACATTGCAGTACTCCCATGTGAGCTGATTCCCTTTCAGTACATGGCACCAGGGCTTGCTGTCATTGTCAGGATTCCTGCAGCACAGGAAAGAGAAGAGCTGTTTGTATTACCAGATCTGTAGGGAGTTTGGGGAGACCTAAAGGTGCCAGACTGTGACCGGGGTGTACTCTTACTGACTTTTCTAGAGATACAGAGGGCCCTAGAGGCAAGTGAAACTTGCATTTATGGAGTCTGATGTTAGAGAAGCATAGATAGGTCAGGTGGAATAAAATTACTATCGTCAGTGAGCTTCATTCACAGCAGTGATGCAGTTCCTGTGCTTTAATAACCCATGCAGAAGACTAGAGCCCTGCCTCAAGAGTACCACAAGGAAGTTTGGTGGGATTTTTAAAATTCTGTAACTGACTACATACCGGCAGAAATTGTGACTACCAAGGCCCAGCTGGTAAGCATCTCTTCTCCAAGCAGTGTATAACTTGTTGACAAGAATTTGAGAATTCCACCTCAAACAGGTAGCTCCAGAACTGGTAATACTGTGGCTGCCTCGGTAATCTCCGCCTCTTCCAGATTTGCAGTTGATGTTCCCAGCTTCAATAAGAAAGCTTCACGTTAACTGATGGCTGTGAACCCGTCAGCTGTTTCTAACTGTGATTTCTGTCAAGGCATCTATATATTAGCTATACTTACCTCAGTCTCTCAGTGTCATAAATATTAAAAGCTTAAACATTATTTAACATGACAGTCTCAATTTTTCAGGCTACAGAAATAGCACAAGTCCACAGAGAACCCTTATATATGCAATAAATCATGGAAGCTCTAAAGTTTCTTCCCTGTACCCCTGCATGTACCTTTTGAACACGAGGGCACACTGCAGTGTTCCCAGATGTACTTTCCCCCTTTATAGATATAGCACCAAGGTCTGGAATCGTCATCTGGGTTTCTGAAAGAGGTATGATATTATGCATCATTATAAACCTATTGTTATTGGTCCCGTGTCTGTCACCTAGTTTGGTAACTTAATCCTGCTTTGCAGTGAAGACCTGGACTAAACCATCAGAAGTCATCTGGATTCCTGTTTTAGTTATAAAACTGTGGAGTACATGGAGGTGAGGTTGAGACAGCCATTAGCAGGAGTGGACAGCTTGTTTGTGCAGTTTAGTCCATGTGCAGGAAGCACTGTATTTTTAGAGTTTTGAGGAGGATCTGAAGCTGCAGGAAATTGGCTCACAAAGGGAGTTTTAGGCACTGAGAAGGGGCAAGGGAAAAACAATGGGGTGAGAGATCTATGCATTTTGTAGTCTGTCATAAGCACCCAGTCTAGATAGATCTAAAGTTCAGATATGTCTACAGAAGTTGCAATTGCTGTTCATGTGGTGTGCCCTATTTGCACCTGTGCAGTGTTCTCTGCTTGGTATTAGGCTGCTGCAAACAGCTGTTCCTTTGCTCCAAGCTCTTAGAATGGACTGATTGCTGTGGCTCTGACCTGTGTGCCATCAGCCCCTCACCTGCAATAGTTGTGATTGCCCAATCCTAGCTCAGCAGCATCCTCTCTTCGGCCGCTATATGTCCGGTCCATCAGGCCATTGCTATTCCAATTTAAACATTCAGTTCCAGTCTCTGTCATGCTCCATGTACCCCTGTATGTTACTCCAGCATCTTTGTAGCACTTAACTTCAGTATCTGAACGAAGGGGAACAAAATGTTACTATAAGGACAGCATCCCAAACTCTGCCTCCCCAGTCTCTGTTCTGTTTAAACTTGGCTCCCAGATGCCTTGTCTACCAAGTCTGTGAAAATGCCTTGCCAGGCAGACTGTAAGTATACATGAAGGCCTTCAGCTCCAAAATTTAGCGTTTTATTAAGAGACACTGAGAACAACCCAGATGTCCTTCTTAAAAGTTCTTTGTAGTATTAGCTTTAGAATAAAAAGAGGCAACTTAACAGAAAGCCTAGTACACAGCAGCAGTTTCTAGGTACCTCATCCTTCTGTGCTGCATAGCTAAAACCAGTAGCGCTGTTCATAGTGATTGACATGGTATACTCACCTATTTCACACTGCTTCCCAGAGAAACCTTGGTGGCACTGGCAGATGAAGAGCTGTGGGGAATAATATGCCTGTGAACATTGACCCCCGTTGTAGCATTTATTTCTAGTACAGGCTGTGGAATAAGCAAATAACAGGAAATACTGTTACATTTCACAGAAGAAGCTGGCAATGTATGCCCATCTTTCCTCTCCTGTCAGTCTCCTTTAGCCTGTTCTATTTTTCCCTGCCTACCTCTTATTGTCATGTGCTTAGTGTCTTTTCGTTTAGTGCTTACATTCTTCCTTTGCTCCATTCTCTCCACATACACTATTAGGAGCCTTCCTCAGTCCCTTGCCCGCTCCTGCGTAGTCCTGCCTGAGTTGGTATATATTAGTATTTTCATTTCTACCCTATCCTGTTTCAAGCCAAACTTTGTGTCATAACTCCTTCCCTAACAGTGGAGTTCTTTAGGATTATTAGATGGACAATCTCTCGTCCCCCGCCATTTCCTTTTTCTTCTTCATACTCACCTCTGACAGGCACAGTGTGGCAGCGACTCCAACCACTGTCGCACCTACAGTATTCTATTCTGCTCCCTGAGAGCCTCAGCCAGGTCCCCCTGTGCTGGTAAATTGCTCCAGATGAATTGTCTGTGCAAATGGCTGTAATTGGAGAAAGGAAATCCTCTTTTAGAGATTCAGGGAAAAGACCTGGCTGAGCAAAAGAACTCCCTTCTTTTTCCAGGAGAAAAGTATCTGTGATGGGAGCATATGTCTAACAGGCTGCCCTCTTTCCTTCTCAGACCACAGTTGTCCCATTTCTCTCACTGCCGTGTTGCTGGATGTACTGTTCCACTATTGACCGGCCTCTCTTTCTTCGAAGAAGAGCAGAGGGAGGGGCTAACTTTGTTCTTTGAGTTGTAGACGGTATTAATGGTCTGGTATTTTGCCTTCTGAATCTCTCATCCAGATAACCATGACAAACAGCTTTCAGGCTCTGTTCCCTCAGTATCATCTGCTTTCCCCTCCTGTGTTCATAAAGCTCCAGGTAACATGGTTGTAGCTTGCCTGGCTTACCTCTAGATCTGGCTCCCCGTTTGAAACGCACGCGTAAGCCCTGCAAGCAAAGAAGGTTAGTTCTGTGAGTAACTGCTCTCTTAAGAAAACTGAGTGAAGAAGTGGCTTCAAAGAGCCAGTCCTCCTCTTGAGGTCTTGTGAATCAGGGGAGCTCTGAGCAACTGTCTGCCCTCCTTGTCAGACAGTACAGTGAAAAGTGCCTTTAGTACCTCAGCATGGGGACAGAGAATTGTAAATCACTGAGTTGCCACAGATTACCAGTGATTGCTTGTCACCTGAGTGATGCGAATTGGGATGTGCCGTACTCACATTGCACGTGAAATGATTATGTGCTCTTGGGGCATTGCAAGTGCTAACTAGAGCTTGTCAGCTTTCTGCTATTTGAAGGAGGTTCACGCAAATAATTTCCAAGGAGGTGAATGTGAACAGGCAGTTATTTTTGCTCATTGATGTGCAGTTTCCCCATAAGCCTTTGTAGCTTGATTTCCTTTGAGAGATGTCTTCTGCAGCCAATTAAATAAAATATTTTGAATAAAGCTTTAAGGAAGAAACCAATTTAGAAAGCTGCTTTGATCAGGCCACAAGAGAAAGAATAACATGAAAAGAAAGAGGAAGGCTGGGATAGTAATTTTTGGGGAAAGCAACTAAACATTTTAGAATTGTGTAGGGTTTACTCAAGCTGTACAATGTGAGGCTTAAAGTGAGGGGACATGGGAACCACGGATGTCCAGTTGTAAGTGAGAGTAATGATGAAGGTGATGACAATAGAAAGAAAACTAAAGGGCAGTCACAATGGAACTCTTACTAAGTGAAAGGTGACAGTGAACAGATACACCAAAAAGATTTGGACAAGACTTGCTTACTGAAGAGAAAACCAGCTAGGATAAAGCATTACTGGAAATCTCAGCTTAGAGGTCGACTACTTAGCAAGGTTTTTCCTTCGTCTGATTTCTAGTGATATTACCAGATTACCCTTCTGTCTGATGCAGACACCTGGAGTCGATGGTCAGGAAGTGCTGCTGAAAATGCAGGAGGATGGCAAGAGCGTTATTTGATGAGCGAGCCTCTTACCTGGCACTGAACAGTCAGGATTGCTCCCACCAGCAGGAGGAGATACGGGAGTTTGCCTTCCATTCTGAGTGTTTTCCACATCACTTCCAAATCTCCAGTTAACTATAGAGACAAAAGAAAAAATAAGATATTGAACAAAGGCATTTTACAGTTTGAATGAAGTTCAAGGTCGTAAGTTTAAATTTCAATTAAAAAAATTAAATTATAAAAATTCTTTTTACATTAAACCACACTTTCTACTTTGCAGTTCTCAGCCATCTGGTCTAGCTGGTGTCCTGGTGTCCCTGGACAGGGGAAACTGCTGGGCTGGACCCAGATGTGCTTTTACTTGATGAACTTAGAAACCCGACAAGCTAAAGCATGCCCTTTTAGGTCTGAAAGAAACTCAAGAGAGTGTTCCTGGGCAATAACACTGGTAGAAGTAAATTCCAAGTCCTTTTTCCCACGGTTGCTGGAAGCCAGCAGCATCATGTGCCTTATTAGAGAGATGGACTTGTCTAATGAAGGAGTGTAATGCTGATTGGAAAGTGCTAATTGAGATTCAGGTCACTGAGGCCTACCTAAGAGATCTCTTGCAGGGACACAAAAATCTGCTGAAGGGTCACTCTGTGAACATAGTAGTTTAAGAGGATTTGCATTTTCTGCACAGACTGCTTCTTTGGGTGAGAGTAAGGGCTTCTCTGTCGTGTAGAGAATGTGTCGGCAAGGAGACGTTAGTTGATGACAGGTGGAGCAGCACTGCTATGTCTTTGATTTTCAGTATTTCTACAGCTTCTCCCCTGCCGAGCTTTTAGTTTCTACTGTTGGCATATGCTTTGGCTAAACAGAGAGAGCATGGCAATTGGCTGGCTGGCTAGCCTTTGGTCTAGTGTTCTCATTTATTTGTTGCAGCATTGCTTTCCGTGTGTCACTTCTATGCAGTCACAACTCTGTCTTATTCCGTCTAATCCCTTCAGCAGCTTTACACTTCAGATAAAGCCCTCTTCCATCTCACATGAAGAGCTTCTGTTTCCTCCAGACTGATTTACATAGTCTGTCTCCTACACCAGTAGTCTTGAGAGAGAACCTCCAATGATCTCCTGTGGGAAATCGACAGCTGGTATGGTGTGGCTAGAGTTAGGGATAAATCTGGATTTCTGCCTCCATTCGTGTAATTTGCTTGAAAATCAACTTCTCTCTTCACTTATCTGAGGTTAACTTCCTACCTGCTGAAACTGTTGCTCTGACCTGGCAACAGATAGGAAGGACATTTAGATACTGTGATCCATCTGTATTTCTTCCTACTGTAGCAAAATTTATTTCTGTCTGGCCTTGAGCAGGCAAGTTTCTTGGCAAAAGCGTGAATTTAGATTTCTGTAGCCACTGACTGAAGCAAGATATGTTACCATCTCGTGCCCTGGTTTCCCCTCCCTCAGTTTGTTTCCTGATGAAGGAGGAAAAATTATTTCTTTCATCAAAGCTTAGCACCTGACTGGCTTAGGGCAGCCACTGGGCAGAGAGAAAATTCTGAGCAGCGGGGGGCACGCTCATAACACAGCATAGTCTTGAGCATATAAAAACTTTATTGCTGAAATTAAGCAACACATTTTTTTTTTTTCCCCTTGCTGTACTAAACGCCATTTTTAATCTCATCCTCATGGCAGAAAAATACAATGTGACAGACAAAGGCAATGAAGGGCTTTCTGAGGTGGTCTGTTGCCTATGAAGGCAATGTGCTTCGCTGTGGGCTTCCAGCTCCTCTGTTAATCCCTGTAGGAAATCCCCGAGAAGATGTATTTTGCCCATTCGTTTATCTTGGTGACCTTGTAGTAACTGTAAAAGATCAGGCAAATGTATGCATGTAAAAGAACTTCAGTAAAGCCTGACCTTAGCAGCATGAGTTTGGTAGCTAGCAAAGTTCTGTTTTATAGTTAGAAACACTGCTGAACTCAAGGGCTTTCAATAAGGATTTATTGGTACACCAACAGGACTCTATTGTGTGGGAGGAGGCTGTTGTTCATGGCAAAAAAAATTAATAACATGGATACAAATGATTTTACAGTGTCAGAAGTTTAGAAACTCAGTGCCTATGGGACTTTTTGGAAACATGGCATTAAATAGCAAGGTCCAATACATCTATTAAAAACTGGGAAGGTATTATTGATTTTCGCAGTTGAGTGATAACTTTTAAGGACTGGAGTTGTCATTACTATGTAATCTGAACTGTTACAATAAGGCAAATAACTTGATCACAGGTTTCCTGACTTGAACTCATAATTTTCTCCCTAAAAGTAATAGTTACTCCTGCATGCAGTAATAGTAGCTCTTTTTTACAATTGTACAAGACATAGGTAATGACCAGTGTGAACAGATTTGGCTCGATCCTCCGTACTAACCAAGACTGCAATAGTAGTCAGTCTAGATGGCTGAGATGATGAATCATGAGAGTGATGTTAATAGGAACCCCCCTCCTTGCTTTGAACAAGTCTAGCACCAGAGGTCCACGTTCTCTCTTCCTTTAAAAATATTATGCTTCCTATAAAAACCAAGAGCTGGGAGTGAGGTACAGTAGCAGGCAAGAAGATACGATTTCATTCACAATCTCTAGGATTGCTCTGCAGTTTCAAATCTTTTAAATGACATTCAGGCACTGTCTCCCACACTACCAGCTTTTTACCATCTACATTATATGATCCCTGAACAAGTAGAAAGCCAACCCAATTAGAGAAAGCTACTACTTCCAGAAATTAGGAGCTCAGACTCTGTTTATATAAAGCCAGAGAAGGCAGCTGGATAATTGGGATTCAAGGCTGAAAAAGGGACAGAGTTTGTTTGTGGGCTTTTTTGATTTCTTTTTAATTTGTTCAAAGAAAAAGACAAAAAGCAAATATTCCAGGCTCTGAAGCAGAACTGGGAGTACAGTAGTTTAGGCTGTGGTTTCTCATTGTTAGACCGCACAAAGAGGAGACTTAAGTTTCAAGTCAGACTGAAAAGATTCACAGGAACAGCTTCAGACAACCTTAGTTACTGCAAGTCTTGTCTTTAGGTCACATCTTGATGATGAGATACTTGTAATTCAGAACATCTTTTGGGGATTGGAATTAGCATGCAGATTTTTGTAATATACTTGTTATATACTTTCAAGCCCTTTCTCACCTCTTAGGAAGCAATTTGCGTTGTATAACAAGCCTTTTTAAAAGCTGTAAGAGTGGTTTCCAAATAGGCATTGACTTCATTTGGCATCTGAACTAAATCAGCAATGTTCCAAAAGCTGAAATGGATGACCTGAACTGCTACTCAGAGACATTCTGTTGCTGCTGTAACCCAGTGTAACATGATCCTTACTCTCTCCAGCTGTAGCTTATTATTGGAGCTATGCAGGCTTGTGTTCTGAATCCCACGGTGGCAAGGTTTTAACTCGCTAATTGTTAGTACCACTGGTCATCTTTGTTGCTATCTATGGAGAAGGCTCGAAGTTCTTACTGACAGCTTCAAGGAATAAGATTCTGCTAGCTAAGACCTTGTTATGGAAAGGTTCATTCTGTGAAACTACTCATGAGCTGCTTTATTGGAATTTCTCTCTACAAAGTACCATAAAGAACTGTTGAGACCTCATTTCTGAGGTACCTGGTAAGATGCCCCAAAACCAAGACAACACTGGTGAAATTTGATTTTTTTTTTTTTTTTGTGGGAGGACAGAGTGGCAAAGCTGGCCAAACTAATATCTCGGAATAAATCCTAGCTGCCTGAAACCAGCAGGAAACTATAGCTATTTTTCAGGGGAGAGAGGGAAACATATTTTAAATTAAAACAACAACAGCAAAGCATTTCGGTCTTGGAGACTGACATGAAAGGACTCCCTATTTAAAAAGCACCTGCATGGTTTAATCAAATTTATGGTTATAATTAAGTTTATCCCATATAGTCCACTATGTAAGCAGATTCTAGTCTTACACAGCACATGCTTATACTGCTGAATGTGACAGATAGTCTCCTTAAAGTTGTCTTGCATCAGATACCACATCCTTTCTTCCACCTATTTCTGCTGCTCCTGTTCAGACTAGCTTATCTTAAAATGCTACAGCCTTCCTCCCTCTCCATACGGAGATGCCTATCCATCCATTAGCAACTGCTGTCACACTATGCATGAAAAATGTAAAAGATGTTGCCAGATGTTTATTTTCTGTTTTGGGAAAGATGCAACTTAGGCCAGTCAAATGGAATGTTCCAAACGATAAGACCTATTGAACTGAAACCATATGTCTGTTTCAAAGATACCATGTTTACAAGAATCCAAGCAGAAACCTGCAAGCAATGTGCTTTCTGATAGGGCTCTCCTAAACAGATTGTGCCTTCTGCTCTCACCCTTTGCTTCCTCTCCAATCAAAAATACTCTAGCAATAAGCCAGAGGCATAGATGTGGTGTTCTGATGCTACACTAGGACATAAATATATGATACCC